CGGTCTATGCGCATGGGGCGCGATGTGGTGCGCCGAGCATGCTGGCACAGTCGGTGGCTGGTGTAGCCATTGTTGTCTTAGTTCCTCCCCATGCTCACGTGTGAGCTTGGGGTCCCCGCATGAGGGTCCAGAGGGGTGTGAGTCTGCAAGGGCTCCGTTACCACCGGTGGCTGTCCCAGAGCGTCCGCCATGGCGCACTCCCAGGACGAACGGTAGCTAGGCACCATGTCACCGATGCTGGAGCCATCACTCTCAACATCGTCATCCATGAGGTCGAGAAAACAGGTGGGAGCATAGGTCGCCATCCCCATGAATTCGGACGTGAGAGGAGGCGACGCCGGCATCTTTCGGAGCCCCCGGGCATACGTGTCCGTGGGAGACGCGGGGCCATAGGGGAACCGGTCGTGCAGCCGTCGCAATGGAGACAACGGGATCCCTCCGGATAATTGGCGAAAGATAGAGAATAGTAAGTAAATAACAGCACGTACATTACTCACAGTAGGGTTTGAGCATAGAGTTTGCTCAGAATGAAGCACAGATGCCGCCTCATTGAAGTCGTGCATCTCGAAGTCGATGGAGGGCGCCCCTCCGATGGGTGCCAGAACGAGTGCCTCCTCGCAGAGGTGCAGTACGCCGAACCGGTCGGTGACGAAGTCCAGGCTTCCGAGTAGGAAGGCCTAGGATGGTTCGAAGACGGGTGGAGCCCACATCCCAACAAGTGGGAGTGCGGGAAACTCCAGTGAGCCAAAGCGAATCGTATCGCCTGAGCCCGCCGTGGCGAAGGTGGCTGAAAAGTGGGCCATCCGATGACCAAAAAGTGTTGAACGTACAACGTCCTCCCCACGGACGGCGCCAACTGTCGGTGCAGAAAGTGACCAACTAGTAAATATTTGTAGTTTTGCCATACGTTGTGATCAGAGGTGGCTTAGCACTCAATAACACAGGGTTTATACTGGTTCAGGCAATGTGCCCTACGTCTAGTTTGAGTTGGTCGGTGACTTTATTCTTGAGCCTAGGTGCTCGAAGTTTGCAGTGGGGTTACAAACTAGAAGGAAAAAGATGGGGTGTATGAGAGGTCCGGTCGGACTCCGATCGGAAGGGCCGAGAGCGACAGGAGCTCCGCTATGAGCTAAGTGTTCAAGCGTGTGCCTGAGGTCCGAACCTGGCAGTTCTATGGTTGTGAGCTAGTGAGCTTGGTCGATCTAATGAATCTGGAATAACTTATGTGAACTTGGATCAACTTCTATCAACTGAGTCCTTTGGGAGAGAGCGCATCCCCTTTTATAGATGTAGGGGATGACCTTACAAGTGAGAGGGAGAGAGTACGAATGCTTCTAAGTCTTGTTACCCACGCCGGCAGGTACAGGATGATAGTAGGCGCCCACAACACTGTTGGATGTCGAATGCACGTGGGAGGTTACGTCGCCTTGTTTCGGGTATGGCAGATGTCGGTACCTGCATATACTGTTGATGCTTAGAGGCATGTGAGGCGTTTCACCATGTTCACTTGGTACGGTAAATTTCGGCGCCCACAACACTGTCGATGCCTAGAGGCATGTGGGGGGCCTTACCGTATGGGAGTTAATGGTGCCTACAATACTGTAGAGAAAAATATCGGCGCCCACAACACTGTTCGTGTCAGGGCGATTGCAGAGTACTGTTCCTGCAGGTGTACAGGGTACGATCCCTGGTATCGTGGTTTGACTTGAGCGCCTTGCCTTGCTTTCTCTGTCCGTTTCCATGGTCCTTTCCGAGCAGGCATCCCCGATCGGTTAGTTCCAGTCCGCTCTGGTTGCGCTAGTCGGAGAAGAGCAGTGAGCAGGGTCTTTGCATACCCCGGTCAGAGACGTGGGGTCCGAGTCGGAGATTGTACTTCGCCAGGCCTTGCGGTTGGAGAGGCCATCTAGAGGCGGGCTGGAGACCGAAGTGAGCGCTCCGGTCGGAGAGGTGGGTCGGAGTTGGAAAGCAGGCGCTGCTCCTCCTCGGCCAGACCATCCGGTCGGTGATTGGATTGTCCGTTTGGCCCGTCGTTCCGATACTTGGGTCGGCCCATGAGTTGGCGTTGTTTGCTTAGGCCAAGCCTTTGTTGGGAAGCCGGTCCGCGAGGGACCCCGGGTTTATGAACCCGACACAAGTAGTTAGAACCTCTTTATAAAAGATATTCTTTGTGAATATATCCTTTTCCGACTTGTTCTTTCCCTTCCCTTTTTTGACGTCATTCTCAATAGCCAGCATGACCAAGATCTTAATATTCGATCTTGCCATGGACAAATTACTAAATATTATTATAAGTAAGGGCATTGCAGGTATCACAATTTAGTAGTCTGTATAATGTTACCTTTGGATACTTCGGTGAGAATAGATTTAGCTTTTCTTCGATGATTCGCTTCACGACGCTTCCTATTAACTTCAACCTGTTGGTCTTCCGTCATTGCTGCACGCCGCTTCCTACTATTTGTTTTAATTTCATTCCGTTGCTCTTCAGTAATAGTTGCACGTTGTGCTCTTTCTCTTTGCCTTTTACGTTCGTTAGGATCGACGACTTCTGTTATGTTTGTAAGTAAATTACATTCACTTTGGCCACCTATTTTTTTAACAGATAGAAAGACATAATTAATTACTACCTAATTACCTCCATTTTTCATTATATTCATGTACATATAATCATTTTTATTTACCTTCATTTGTTGGGTTTGTTAAATCTCTGAATGGTGTCGAACAACCCTGTCCTTGATTTTCAATAGGTTCCATGTAGGAGAGAAACTCTAAAAACACATAAAGAGAGTCATTATTAGAATCAAAAGTGCGTATGAGTGACCATCTGAAAAAGGACATGATTAAAGCCCGTTTCAGTTGAAGTGCTCCAAGCAAATTAGGGGAATATCTACTAATGAACAACTACCAAAGCAGTACTGTCACCGCCTGACAACTGGACTTCAAACTTCCCCCGAGTAGGGGGCCTTGTTTAGATTGCAAGTTTTTTCACTCTCTCTCCATCACATCAAATCTTTAGACACGTAGTATTAAATGTAGATAAAAAAATAACTAATTATGCAGTTTGATTGTAAATTACGAGATAAATCTTTTGAGCCTAGTTAGACCATGATTGGACAATAATTATCAAATACAAACAAAAGTGCTACAGTGTCAAATACTGATTCCTAGACCATCTAAACAAGGCCTAGCTATCGCACAGCAAATATGGGTTTAGAAATATTGATTTTGACAATTAAAAGATCAGAAGTATTATAGCAAGGCAGTTAGCGCATGCGACGTGAGTACCTGAGTAGACAGTCGACGTGCCTCGCTAGTCGTCGTTTCCTGCCGTCTGACGCGCACGACATGTAGCACATGCCTGCTCAGTTATCTGTCCCAGTTATCGGCAGCAATCCGGAGACGCTCACGCGGCGCGCCGACGGTTGCACGTATGCTTTGTTCCTTTCTTTTTTTTTTACCGACGAGTAGAGTTATATACTGAGCGTACACGCGCGGCCAGCTTTTCGGTCTGTGCGCTGGTTGGTTTTTGGATTGATTTAGGTTGGCTGATACTAGTTTGGTGTGAGAGTAAAATACTGTTGGCTGATTAGTTTGGACTGGTTGAAACCAACAAACGAACAGTGTTTTGGTAGGGAGCCGAGGAAGGTTGGGCCTGCAGTTCGATACGGATACGGATATACTACAACTTTTTTGGTAGAGAGCCGAGGAAGGTTGGGCCTGGTTGGTCCTGTAGTTCGATACGGATACGGATTCGTGCGGCACGGCAATACAGATACGGCAACTCGGAGGCAGGTCTATGTGCGGCACGGCAATACGTACCGCACTCGGAGGCACGCACACCAAGGAGGTGTTTAGATGTTTTTGAATGGTAAAACTTTTGCTCCTAATTCTTTTGCTGTAAAACTTTTGGCATTTGGTGTTTAGTTGTATGGTAAAAATTTAGCCATGCAGACATAACACACGCCCCCAAGACGTTTTTTATCCCGTTTTAGGTCTCTTGATTCCAAATGCCAAAAGTTTTGTAGCCCAATTTTGCTATTTTTACCTATAATGTTTAGATCTATTTTACCAAAAAATAAAATAAAATAGTAAAAATTTTGACCAAAATGGAGAACAAAACAGGCCCCAAATTTTTGGAGGAAAGGTCTACATTGTTTTGTAAGTAGTAACAGATAACAGACTCATCTAGTTGTCGTACTGTGTCGCCATCTGAAGAGTCACCCTTACGACGCTATCTTGCAATCCATGAAGTCAAAATATTATAAAACTGTCTAAATTTATAAAAGAGAACAACAAATGAGTATTATGAAAAAAATATTTTCATAATTTTTTAGGAGAAAATATTTTCATAATTTAACAATATATAAGTGACCGGCCCATAGATTTCCAAGCTCATCACCTCGAGGCCCACGCATGTTTTTTTTTGCCATAACTTCCGAAGGGTTGAGGCTGGTCCGAGCCTGACTCAACGCCGGTATTGGGTCAAAAAATTTGGACATTCCGAGTATTTCACGAGATTTTTAACATTTTTGCATTGAAAATATCTACATTATCTTCCCCAACTTTTGTGAAAATTTGTTTTTCTCCTGAACTCTAAAATCAGTTAAACTACCTTCCTGAACTTTTAAAAACGCTCGTTTTACCTCTTAAGAAAACAGGCTTTCGCAAAATTTGAGCAACTAATGTGGATTTTTTTGTTTTTGCGCGGCACACTTTCCTGGCGGGGGCGAGCGGCGGCGGACGGGGCGTGACGGGACTAATCCGCGCGCCATGGGCCCGTGCCGTGCGGCCCGGTTTAGGTGCACCAGAAGACAGCGGCACCGCACCGAACCCAACCACCGCGTCCGTGCCGTGATCCACTCCCAATTGCCGCCCCCCGACCCCCGTGCGCGCGCGAGCGATCGGCACAGAAACGCAGCCCAGCCCATGCCGCGAGGAAGGCTGAGACAGAGAGGGACTGAGCAAGCGTCACGCGAGAGCTGGTGCTCCGGACCACCACGCTGATGGGCTCGGGCGACCAGGCGGCCGCCCCCCTCTCTTCCTTCCTCCGCCACCCTGGCGCGTTCTCCCTCTCCCGCCGCGTCGCCATGGCGCGCGACGCCACCGCCACCGCCACCGCCGTGCCCGCGCTCCGCCCCTGGCTCGTCGACCTCCTCCCGCTCCTCGTCGTCCTCCTCATCGCCGCCCACGTCATCGCCCTCGTGCGTCCTCCTCCCTCCCAACTATCCTCCGCTGCATCTCCTGTTATTGCCACCTGCTGGATGAGATTGGGGGTATGAATTGGGCTTCCCGTCGCAGGGTTACTGGATCTACAGGCTCGCCACGGACGGGTCCAGGCAGCCCGCGCGGAGCAAGAAGCACTAAGGGGACGGCGCCCGCGGCTGGATGTAAGTCTATTCACATCTTCTCTCATAGCTCTGGTGCTCTCAGTGAATGTTAATTATCGGAGGACGAGGAATTCCTGATTACGCGATTGCTTGCCTGGTGCCTGCTAGGCTCAGGCAGGTGCTCGAGATGCTGATTGGCGAAATGCTACGTTGAGAACAGGGAATTTAGTTACTCTTACCAATTAGCCTGTTGGGTGTTAACTCTGATCCGCGCATTTTGGTGATCCGCTTTTACTTATGTATCACACCAGTACTAGTTCGGCCATCTCAAAAGCAAAATTTTACTAGTTTTCTCAAGATTTTTTTGGTGGTAACTGGTTTGGGGCTTTAGTCCAATTTAACTTCCTTCTTTATTAGGGATCATTCATTTTAGGTTTGGTGCCTTGCTTGTTGAGTAGTTATTGAATAAAAAATGTAAGACTGAAGATATCTGACAGATATTTGGGGGGCCCTTGGATTTGGATATAGATGCAGTGTAGGATTGGATGGTGATACTTTTGGGGATGGTACAGTTGGTGGATTAGGATTGCTTTCTTCGTTGCCACTGCAGTATGAAATTATTGAACCCTTTTAGGAGAACAATTATTGAACCTCGCTCATTTTTGTATCTTCTTTTTATCGGTAACTTATTTGTTAAGCTTTTTTTATCAACTTATCCTGCTGAACATGGGGTTTGTTTGTCTAAATTGTGGAGGCATAAACATGTTTCTGTGGGATTCATGTCTTGAAGAGAAGTGTTTGATCTTCTGAGTGCTTCATATGCTCCCGCTCATTATTCTTGCATTTGGTATGCATTATGCTGTTGTAAGAGAAGTTAATTTTCTTCTCTCCTCAATTTTTTTGTGTTTCTAATCAAATTTTGAACTGGTCTTGAGTGCATTTACTTTATTTGTTGGATCATGGACTGGTAGTAAAAACAAATTTCCAAATGTTTTTATCTTCACATTTCAATATTTATTTTCTTTTCTGAACCATCTATCTTGCTGTGTTTACCTTATACTATATGTGCTTTGACTGAAGAGAAACAAACATATATGAAAGAAAGAGAAAGAAACAAACATTACTCTAGCCCTGTCCTTTGAAAGGCCTTGCTTGTTGAGCTCAAAACAATATGGCGTGCCCCTGAAATTGGTAATTTGCTAGTTCACTCTAAGCTACCATAAGGCATACGAATACCGTCTTTTCCGTTGTACATTAACTTTGGAAACGATTGATGATCAAGATTTAATGTATTTGTATGATGTGTCTATTTGTTAGCCTTCTGTATGAGGATTTGGACAAAAGTCTCCTTTGCAAAGATTAATGTTTGGTCTGTTGCTTTCTTAGGCTTGATGACACCAAACCCATGGTTAACATCTATTTTAACTTTCATATTTCTATATGGAGTCATGTTGGTATTCAAATAATCTAACAGCACAAATCCCTGTTGTTTCCAACATTGTTACATTACTTGACTGATGAGTATAACATCATTTGAGCAGTAACCGGGAGCACGTCCCATTGCCCATTTTCACCTTAATGCTAAAGTCACTGCGTTCTGTTTCTGCATTTTGTCTTTAGAAGAGAAGGGGCTGACAAAACTGTCTGCTTTTTTGTATTTATTAAGTTTGTAGTTCATTTGACCATAAAACAGCAAATCGGCGTTTTGGTTTGCTCAAAATCTGCTTAGTGCTTGAGTAATATGAACATCAGACAGCCTCTCAAACACCACCAGTAACCTGTTGGGATTGACCGATTCCATCCATTTTGTTGCAGGCTTGCAACCAGTTTGCTATTTCAGTCGTGCATCCTTTGCTTGTTGATCTCCAAAGCTTGCAACCTCAGGTGATGGCGTGGCAAAGTTCCTGAAAGAACTATGACAGGGAACCGTGGTTTGTTCAGATGTTGGTATCAAAAGTGACGATAGCTGATATGTGAAAGGAGGCTCTTTTGAGCATAAATAGTTTTCGGTTGCTGGATAGGTTTGTCATCTGTCGACGTCTCCGTGTACAGAACAGTAGCTAGACAGGTGTGCCGTTTCATATGTTGTGGGCTTTTGTAATCCATGAGCAGCATTTTATTTGGGCGATCCAATAAACGGGAAATTTCAGGTTCCAAGCTTCTTGGAGGCCTATTTGTATCCTACTAAACTTAGCATACTAACTCTTAGCACTTGTTAGCGATCTCTACCTTAACAATACCCCCTTATAGTTCATTTTTATTTTATCCTAAGTCAAACTTTATTAGCTTTGCTCAAGTTTATACAAAAATGCAGACATCTAGAATATCAAATTCGTTTTCGATTCTTCAAGAAACATATTTTAATATAGCATTTATTTTAACTTGTCCATGTTGACATGGTCAAAATTAGAGAGTTTAATTTATGTTACTAGTTAGCTCACCTTTTTAGCGGGTGACATATCTGGATCTAATAATTCTGCTAACTTTTAGGTGCTCACTGTTAGCGCATTGGATCCGAAAGCAAAAGTTTAGCCATGTCACATCGAATCTTTAATATCAATTAGGAGTATTAAACATAGGCTAATTACAAAACTAATTATACAGATTAAGGCTAATTTACGAGACGAATCTATTAAATCTAAGTAGCCTATGTTTTGACAATGTAATGCTACAGTAAACATTTGCTAATTATAGATTAATTAAGGCTTAATAGATTCGTCTCGCTAATTAGTCTACACCTGTGCAATTAGTTTTATAATTAACTCATGTTTAGTCCTTCTAGTTATCATTCGAATATCCGATATGACACGACTAAACTTTAGGCCTGGATCTAGACATAGCCTAGTACCACCTTGTCTGAATATAACATGCCTAATACCACCTTGTCTGAATATAACATGTAACAATGGTTATTATTCCTCGTCTTATTATGGCCTCGTTTAGTTCGGCCACCAAATCAGCGCCGCCGAATTGCCGGAGGTACTGTAGCTACAGTACCGTTTTGTTTTTATTTGGTAATAATTGTCCGATCGTTGACTAATTAGGCTCAAAACGTTCGTCTCGCAAAGTACAACTAAACTGTGTAATTAATTTTTTATTTCGTCACATTTAATACTCCATGCATGTACCGTAAGTTTGATGTGACAGAAAATCTTCTTTTTGCATAGTGTTAAATTATAGAATCGGGGAACTAAACGTGGCCTATCTTGCAGTTCCAGATGGTCGTCATATCAAGCCACCCTGTGCGGAGTGCGGTATGCCTGCTACTATCACGCCATGTGGCAGCCTAGCTCAGTAGTCAGTACTGCAGGAGCTTCTATCTGTTTCTAAGATGTCTTGTCTGTCTGAGTACCTGGCTGCCTCAAGTAGTCAAGTGTGACAAAAGTGTCGGCAACGCGTTGTTGGATGACTGGATCATCAGTTCATCACACTCACACGGCAGCGGCTTCTCTTTGCGTTTTTGCTCAAACAAATAGAGGATTCTTGTTCCGGCGTTGCGCCTTTCCGCTTTCGTCGTAGGGCGGCACGACAAACGGCACAAAAGCGCAGCAGCGCACGTCGCGAATTCGCAAAGCGTGTCGAGTCTGCCAGATCCCCTGAAAACATTTCCCGGGTCTCGAAGGATGCAGAATAACGGAAAGACAAGAGCACAGCGTCAAGAGTCCCTGGGAGTGGAATCCAATCCGACACGCGGGGTCGAAGCCTCTTTTAGGAAAAGAGAGAAGAAAAAGAAACAATGTATATAGAGCTACAGCCGATTAATCTCACGGCAATGCGGAGAAAAAAGGTTTTTATCAGTTCATGTTGTACAAAGTCAATTTAACACTAGCTACATGGTATGATGATATGATCACCACAGCAGAGAAGGGGCTGAATATTTTTCTCTGTGCATGTTCAGCCTAACGGCAGATGATGCAGAGGACGACGGCGACGATGATGATCAGGATGAGCAGCGGCAGTGAAATGATCAGCACGAACTCCATCTGACCTCCCTGGCCCTGCAAAATGAGATGGAATGGAACCTTATAATTTCACGACCGGCAAATAGCAAAAAATGCTATCATCTGTATACGGCTGTCTTAGTACAGACTGGCCAGATTCTAATGCGCATGGCTGGCTATTTTAGCACAATGAGTTGTATTATATTCAGAATGGCATCCGTATTCTTGATCATCAGCCACTACATCTGATTTGAGTGTCTGTTGCGAAACAATCGTGGACTCGCAGAGAAATTCAGGCGCATTGGGTCTCTGGAGGAACCTATCAACCGCCTCGATCTTTGTTATTCAATACATGAACATGGCTTTTTTGCTTAGACAAAAGGCACAACAGTGGCTTATTGTTGGAAAGGTATTGGATCCGATTCCCCAATGGAAACGGCACACCTTGCCCGCCGCCCGGTACGAATCGATTCTTGATCAGTGTGGCGCTTTGGGTCAAATAAACCTGCCTTTGCATTTTTAGAAGAGAACGACACATCACAGAAGGCTGTAGGAGGTGTTGGTTCACTACTGGTCCCCTCTAGGACTTGGCTGAGATGCGAGTAGAAGGTATCTTCTTCTTTCTCCCCCTCAGGCAGGCGCACTAGAAGTAGGTTCTTTCTGCTCCTCCCAAGAGCTTATGGATCACTGCTTCGCTAATTGCTAGTAGCTGGACGCAGTCAAACTTGGACACCAAAGTCTCGCCTAAATCACTCACCTTAGTCAACAGATGACTCTTGCGTCTGGAACTTTGTCCAGAATAATAGCGACGCACAGTTCTTGCCCCCTCAACTACTCCGTTTCCTAACCTAAGCCGATATAAAATATGCTGCTGCAGCAGCTAGCTATGTCTAAATTAAACAACTGTTTTGGTTTCTGCTGAAAGCTACTCAAATCGATGTAAAATTCATGAAACACGTACTAGCGTTGATCTAACAAGGACGTCGTAGGCGTAAGCGTATCCCACTCGCA